TAAAACAAAAAAGACGAACACATTTTTAGCTTCCTCTGTATTTTATATATGATAATTAAAGCTAATCGTAATTTTTGGATAAAAGAAAGGTGACACGTGTCACTCGTTGAGACTTGAGACAACGTAAGGCGTTGAGGAACTTGTGGCGAGCATGATGCTACACGGTAAATATCTTGAGACAATTTCCAGATAATTATTATTGACATGATTTTATATAAAAATAAAAAATGTATCCACACTCCACAGTGGTTATTGGATCATATTATATAGTCAATTAAAACTTGAAAGACTAAAAAGAAACAAAGGAGAAAGGCTTTGTGTTGAGTCTCAGGTTTTATATTTGGCTTTATAATAGCAATTGTTGCTGCTAAGACGATGATTTAGAGTAGCTTTCTTTCACCATTGTCTGAACAAAAAGCTCCCCTGCTCTGTATGAAGATCTCACCTGCAAGAACATTATATATATTTCCAAATCAGACAAGCACATTTTCTGGTTCTTCAATGTTTAAGAAAGAAAAGATATCAGAAAGTAAAGAGGCTAGGCTTCGTGGATTTACCAGTGGACCACTTGCAACATATCGAAATCCGATTGATTCTCCATATGTTTTCCAGAAATCAAACTTCTCAGGTGTGACATACTCTTTCACAGTCAAATGCAATGGAGTTGGCTGCATTTTGGAACAAAAGCAAACGGTTTAGGATCTTTCTCTGTGTTGGAAATAGGAATCTTGCGAATGATTAGTCTGAAATGTTAAGTGATTATTTTACCTGTAAATACTGGCCGAGTGTTAGAATGTCAACGTCTATAGCTCTTAAATCAGCCATTGCTTCCTTTAACTCTTCGTCTGTTTCTCCAAGACCAAGCATTATGGATGTCTTTGTGATCATTCCAGGTTTGCTGATCTTTGCGTGTTTCAAAACCGACATGCTCTGCTCGTATCTGCATTCTCCACACGAGATCAACATTTAATACATTTCGAGATGCAAAACACTATGTAATATATGCAATAAGAGACAAACTGACTTCCCGTAACAGAGGACCAATCCACTAATCAGCCCATCTTTGCCATAACCAATTTGCAGAACAAATTGAAAAATGAGGAACAATGAATCAACACTCACCCAGCCCTAGGATCCCTCACAAGTCGCTGGAGCCTTTTCACAGTCTCGATATTGTGAGCAAAAACATCCAATCCCGAGTGTACAAGCGTGTCGACAGCCTCCAAGTCTCCACGGAAATCAGAAGTTAAGCATTCTATCATTATATCCGGCTTAAGTCTCTACAAAGATGAGATATACATTTTCAAATTGTGCACTCCATACTTTCATTTCATAATCACTCTTGAAACCAGAATTCTAGAAATGTACAAAACAGTATTCTGAAAAGATCATGGTACAAAAGCCTCACCCTATAACCTTCAAGTGAAAAAAAAGTGGGCATTTTTATTCTTCCTCTACTTATGATTCCCATAACGTAAAGCATAAACAATTCGATTTTACCTTCATCGCTTTTACAGTCTGCGCAAAATGTCCACTTCCACCATCAGGTAGATCATCACGGTCTACGCTGGTAATCACTATGTAATCTACACTGCAACAATGAAAAAGCCAGGAGAGCATACCATATTACACTGATCATAAGTTCAGAAAGACGCATAAGGCTTCAACAACCTAACTTTCCCATCATTATATGCATAAATGACTATTCAGACTGCAATGACAGCGTTTTTCTAACGGTAAAAGCACATTACTCAGACTGCTAATCAAATAAAAGCCACTCACCCCCAACTGGTTATGGCCTTGGCAGTGTTCTCTGGTTCCATTGGATCAGGAGGAGCAGGATTTCTACTCGTTTTAACTGCACAAAATCTACACCCACGAGTACATGTATCACCAAGAACCATGATGGTTGCAGTTGCTATACCATCACCACCTCCATTCCAACACTGCACATCAAAAGCCAATCTCAGAATCTCTAATACTTTCTTTTCTTTTGAACACCAAAACCACAAATCTAGAGCAATACTGACTGGATTAGCATGTAGATTACTAAACAATCAACTCTATGAACCAAACACAGTTCAGTAATCTTCGAGATCGAGTTGAAATGATTCATAGTGAAAAACAAACCCACGAATTCGAAACTGCTATAAACCAAACACACTGCACGCAATCGGAAATACTAACCTCGCCGATATTAGGGCACTGAGCTTCCTCACAAACAGTATTGAGCTTAAGACGTGAAAGCGATTCCTTCACCTCCTGAAACTTCTCACCTTGTGGTGCCTTTTGTCTCAACCAAGAAGGTTTCTTCACATTCGGATCTCTACCCGTGAATGGACCCATCTTCGGCATTCCTCCTGGGTAAATCTCGCTCTTTTTCATTTCGGACTCCATCAGATTCTTCTTCAACGGCGAATCCTCCGTTTCAGGCGACAAAGACAACGCTTTGGTCCGCATCGACGACGACGATACATCCCCGGATTCGCATCGGATTCTGAAACGCGAATTGAAGAAGCTAGTGGA